TTGCCGTGCCTAATTTTTGAATTATTGCCCTTTGTTTATTTTTACACTTTGAACTTTGTCCGGGACATAACTCTAGATAGATCTCATTGAGTTGAAGTGCATTGTTAAAGAATCATAACTCTGTCTTGTCTATTTTTGGAGTTATTGCCCTTTGTTCATTTTGAAACTTTTAACTTCGGCCCGGACATTTCTCTAAAATTATAAAAGATATTAACATGAAACTTTGTAGGTAGATAGATCTCATTTGGTAGTAGTGCAGTGCAAAATACCATAACTCTGCATTGCCAAATTTTGGAGTTTTTGCCCTTTGTTCATTTTTTTATACTTCCCTGTGTCCAAAACCTTCTCGGGGAGCATCACCCGGTTCAACCGGTTCTTGTTGCAACAAGCTTAAAGCAATCAAGCCATCATATAGACCTTTCATTTAAGACCGTTTTCAAGTTGTCGCCATTGGATGACGTCATTGGGGGATACGGTGGACAATGCCGATACGATTAAGTACAATAATTGAGGGATATAAAGATCTTAATCCTTTCTCTTGTAAGATTGGCAGATTGAAATTGCAAATATTTGTGTAACTGAATAAGATATTGCATAAAAATGATGATTAAATTAATAAAAATGTTTACTATAATAAGGTTAACGATTTGTTTTAATAATAGTAGACCATATTGCTGGGTAACTACGGAATTCCATTAGGGCCATCGTGGTTTCGGGCTGTCGCCCTAAGGGCGAAATCGCGAAAACGCAATGAATTGACGCAAAAACACAATACAAGATCACGATATTAATAGCGCGCAAACGTGTTTTTGCGATCTTGTATCGTGTTTTCGCCCTACTGACCGCGAAGGCGAAAACAAGATTGGAGATCTGGGGCGAAAACGCGAAACCACGATATTTTAATAAAGTGCGATATAGAAAACACTGTTTTCGAGGTTCTTGTCCTGCATGCAATTACGTTAGGTCATAGACTGTCCATGACAATTTAATAGTGATATATTGCTATTCGTGTTTTCATTTGAAATGTAAGATGGCTTAATGACATAAATATGACCTACAGAAATTACCGGGAAAAGTAAAACAAGGCTAAATATAAAATGTTTGTTTCTTTTTTTCTGGTCACACATTTTTCCTGGTCACTTTATATTTAGAACAAAAGTGAATTATATTTGTTTGTTTTGCTTGTAAGATTAAAATATATTTCACTGAGTGAACACCAGATGCAATATTTTCACGAATAGCTGGTGTTCACGAATGAAATATATTTCAGTCTCACATGCAAAACAAACAAATTTTCTTTTGATCTATTAAGAATTATTTACTGATTTTTCCGCGTAACGTCGCAAATTCCTTGTATGACGTCATCACATCATGACGTCAATTTTGCTATATAGTTCTGTTAAATTTTTCCTAATTTTGTTTCATTTTTAACATGATGTATGATGATATCGATTTTCCTTTTTCTAAACGTATGATAACATTTATTTTCGCCTGTTATTTCATGTAGATCTAGTTATGATATTCTTTTCATCCGGATTTAGATATAGTCCGGCTACAGTGAAAATAATATTTTATAAATGTGGTTTATCAGAATATAGATCTTATCATCTATTGTATTATAGTAAAACACTGGAAAGCATGGAATAATAAGTTAAAAAGGCAATGTATATTACATTTTTAGTATAGCAGACGTTAAAAAGTTATACATGTAACAAGCATATTTCTTTTCTTTAAAAACATATTTTTTATGAAATAATTCAAACTTCATGAGCTGAAATCAACAAATACGTGTTAAGTGAAATGAGTCATTTTTGCAAAATACTGATACAAACAATAGATTTGATAGTCTCTATGATGCTGATATTGAATAAGTACCATAGGTTATTTCAAGTACCAAAGTTTTCTAAATAAAATTTCACGTTAATTAACATTGAGAAGACTTTCAAAGTTAAATATTTTCAATATGTACAAGATGTTTTATTTATTTGTTTATTTATTTGTTAATTTATTTATTTATTTATTTGTTTATTTACTTGTTTATTTATTTTTGTTAAGCAAGAGCAGAAAGACCACTGAATTATATTGATAATGCTATCGAATCCAATTTCGTCGTATGTTTGTGTTTTTGCATTTGCAAAATCAACAGAAGATCGTTTTTTGCATTGTGTCGTATCGTCATGTTTCGCATTTTTACATTCTTGGAGTGAAAAACGGAGACACAAATGCGTTTTATATGTGTTAAAAACATGTGTGTTAGAACGTATGTTTTTCATATGTAAGATTAACCTATGTTAAACAGGATCATATGAAAAACATATGTCAACAAACATATGTTTAACTCATGGTTATCACATATTTTTCATATAAATATCAATATTTATATTTTAAACTTATGTGAACTTTCATATGTTTTTCATATGATAAATTGACGGGTCATATATTCTGCAAGATTTACATTTTTAAAAGTTTTAATTAGATTGAACATGATATTCTTAAAATATGATTGGTTCATGCATCTATGTACAATTTGTAATTGTAGTAAATCTATGGGGGAAAACTTGCCTTCACTTCAAATGCATCTTATCATGTTGAAAAAAAAAAACATCAATAAAATACCTTTATACAACAGATGAAAATAAATAAATGATAAATATCTTTTGGTGGGATAGCTGATTATATTTTAAATTAAGGGAAGAACTGTCAGAGGAAGAAACGGTCTAAATTATCTAAATTACGGATGAATCGTCAAGGTGATTAACTGGTTAGGGGGAATAGTTTGCCATTCATTTTTATCCATGATTTGTTCTCCCGTTGTATAAGCTAGTGTTTATTAAGTGAGTAATCCAAAACGAAGTGACCCGTAGGGAGTGACCGTGGTTCTTTATTGTTAAAATGTTCACTTAATAAAACTAAATTATACTTAGTGTTAAGATTTATCAATTTTGTAAGTTGCAAAAAGCATTGTTTTTTATAAAATATATTACCGAATTTTACATTTCCAGTAAATAAATGGAGGTAATAGTAATAAAAAGTTCATTTTCTATAAATACTTAGTCAAATTTTTCAATAAGAAATGAATGCATATATTTTAATGATTACAGATAATATGTTCAAATATTTGCAGTACATATTTTACATATTCTCCGATGTTTGAAAATTATTTTATAAGCATAATTATATACATATATATATAATTTCACTTAAATGTAGTAGAGTCGAACACTTAAGACTTGTTAAAGTCTTATGAATTATCAAGTTCAACCAAAACAAACTCTGGAACACATTTTACCATGTGAATATATAATTTCACTTATATGTAGAATTGAACACTTAAGACTTGTAAAAGTCTTATGAATTATCAAGTTCAACCAAAACAAACTCTGGATGTGAATATATAATTTCACTTAAATGTAGAGTTGAACACTTAAGACTTGTTAAATCTTATGAATTATCAAGTTCAACCAAAACAAACTCTGGAACACAATTTACCATGTGAATATATAATTTCACTTAAATGTAGAGTTAAACACTTAAGACTAATAAAGTCTTGTTAAAGTCTTATGAATTATTAAGTTCAACCAAAACAAACTCTGGAACACAATTTACCATGTGAATCCATATGTGAAAAACATAAATCTATACCATAAATGAAACATACAGTGTCCTGTTCTTGACCAAACACTGTTCCCTACCATATGAAAAAACATATTTCATTCATGTGTATCCGTATGAAAAACATGTGTCTGCACCATATGTTAAACATATGGGTTACTTTTCTTGGAGAAACCACATGTTTCTACCACATGTAAAACATGTGTGTCACATACGTTAAACATGCGGTGCATTTTTACCTGTGTTTGCAAGCCCATTTAATAATAAATACCTTACCTGTAATTAAGTAAATCCGGTCCGAGGTTTTTTCTTCAATTAATATAACTTTTTTAAAACTGATTTTTTCTAAGACATTGGCGTTGTGTTGGTCTAAAATGAATAAACATTTCGAAAAAAAATAAATATATATATACACCTGGAAATAAGTTAAGCAAACACTCTGTATTTTACCTCAATGTTGGCATGACCACAACTGATATTTTAAATTTAATTTGGGCAATTATGCGAATCATCTGTAGTCAACCTGCAACAACTGGAACAAGCTCAGCACCCGGAATGGCAAACTTTAAGTCCAAATGGCATTAGACGCGTTACTGATATGAGGAGAAGGGTTGGGGCTATCATCCAGGCACGTGCCCATTACACGCATTATTAAAAGTTTGGCTACATAATGCCATTTTAGGTAACGTTATCGTCTACAGTTAACAAAATATCCACCACTAAATGTTTTGTTAACACCACAACACCATACTTATAAACACTCACATTTTTGGTAAAAAGCAACAAATTTGACTATGCTCCAATACTTAAGAATAAACTGAACTCATAAATTTACTGGTTTATTATTTAATTTACTAAACTTCTTTCGCTACTTATCAAATTACTATTTCTTAGCTCAATTAAGAAGTCGTGACATTTCTTTCAGTCACAACCAATTTTAAGTTTCAGGTTGTGCTTAACTTATTTACCAGGTGTATATGGTATGTTTATTGTTCAAATAAAATTAGAAAAAGAGAAAATAAAATTGACATGACCAGAAGAAATTTTAACTTATTTAGTTGTCCTAACATTCTTTTCTTATTATTCTTGATAAAGGTACTGCTCTGAAAATATTTTTTTTTAAATCTAAAATAAATATTCGTTGACATTTTGTCAGTGACACCAAATGCGACTGCTAAATGCGTTCATCTTTCTGGTAGAATTATATTTATTAAATTTTAATCAGGTTTGTCAATATAGAAACGAATGTATAAAATGATGTATAAAGATTATTAAGTTAGTGCTCTTAAAATGTTGGTGTATATTAAAGTGTGTGTTGTAACATATAATATGATCATACATGATATTTTAATGTTATACATACATGAATGGTTGATATATATTTACAGTAAGACCGAGTCAGTCGGAAAACCGGTTTGAAGAAATCGATTTGTGTGTCATCATCATACCTTCTTGCGTTGCTTGTTTGATGCTATTATCTTATATACCTGCAGTTGTTATTTATTTCAATCAACAATTATCAAATAAATTACATAAAGGTAGGTGAAGATTGACACAACTGTTCAACTAAGTTAAACATATATTTGGCAGCGTTAAATGTCGCATTAAAGCTAAATGTCGCACGTTACGTTAATCTCGCAAGGCTAACGCAAAATGTCGGAATGAACACTGGATTTTGCAGTCGTCGAGCGGTTAATATATATTGCCCTTTTTACGCTAAATATCGCACGAAAAATCAGGACCGTTATATGCCCATTGTTTTCGCTTAATTTTGCATGTCATAGGAAGGTAAATACTTATGACCTTCATTTGAAAAGATACAAGTACATGTTAAAGATGTGTCGCAAAAACATACTTTTTTAGTGTAATGTTCACACAATATCCTCTCAGGTGCACGGAAATTATCATATTTTCAAAATATATGAGGGAAACCCTTGACTGTTTGTATTCACTTTCAAAATTAAAATAAGAAACTGAAAATGCTATTGATAAGTTTGTTGAAATGACTAAATATTGTTGGTACATGATTCCCAATTATCAGCAAAAATACGCGCTAATAACAACTTTAAAGTGGCTTAATTTTTGTATTTATGAAAGAAATACAGACTTGTTAGTAGCCCTTTTTATTCTTAAAACGAGATCCAATTGGCTGTAACATCTTTTATGAAAAAAAAAACTCGATTGATAATATTGTTAGTAAGTTTTACCCTGCTTTTGTTGATGTAGTTTTTATGAAATAAAAAGAAAATTTTGTTTGTTTTTCGTAGATATGAAATATATATATAACGTCATATTACCTTCGCACTAGCGAAATATTAATATTATATCACTTTGTGGTAGAACATATTATTCTAATTATGAAAATTGAATTAAAATTTAAAACCGTTCCAATACTTTTCTGTCAAAACAGGCTAAAATAGCATAACAATATGGTATTCAATAGTATATTTCTTTAATATCTTTTGCATATCTTTCTGTTTTAAAGTGCCCAAGTTCACTTTAGTCAGGACCATTGTGATATTTAGCGTGTATAACGACACGTAGCGTTAACTTTGCGACTTTTAACGTCAGTGCAATATTAGGCGAGGATGCGAAATTTAACGTTGCACACTGTAAATATTATGTATTTGTTATGCATGAAATAGATTTCTATTCAATAATATTTGTGATTAAATAAATGTATTCATTTTACATATATCAAAATCACACTTGTCAGGATCCAGCAATAATATTATTCACCCGATTATTGATATACAACATCATATTAAAATAACGGTATTTGAAAAGAAAGTTATACCGCTATCATTTATTAAACTTTCAGTGTTTGCACAACGTGATCCCAAACATACATCATCGTTAGATCTCATCTTATCAATTTAATATCTGGTTTTATTTTGCCAGTCAAAAAGCTCCATATAAGATTACCTAGCATTGTTTCAACTTTCGAATCCAAAATATCTTAATTATATTTTATTGTAATAACAGTTATAATAATAGTAACGAGGAATTGTATTCCAACTACTTTTTCTTTTTTTCAGAGTCTACAGAAATCATATCGTATCTTAACTGTACATGAACTAACACAGTTATTTAAAAATTGCAATGGTGTTAATTAAAGATGCATACATTTGTAAATAATACTAATTCAATTGGACTCGTTATTAGCTAAGGTATCTAAGTAAGACTCGGCAAGCGCTTCATTCAAGATAGGCTTCACGCTGCTGGGTAATCATCCAATAAAATTTAGCATTGTACTTAACAATGATTAATGACTTTATAACACAAGCATCATTATAATTTGCACACATAAGATGACTGAATTGTACATATTTTGTGTTGCAGTCCTGAACTATAAGAACTGCAGATTGTTCATACCATTTTTTGGACTTTACCTTATCATCAAATACTGCAAATTAGATAAAGGTAAGTTTATAATTACACTTTTGACTTCCTTTAGATACAAATACTACAAGTCAAATAGTGTTATACATGATTACTCAGGAAAATATCTTATCATTCAAAAATTTCTTAAACACAAAGGGGTCATTTACAAGCCTGGATCAACCTTGCGATAATAAGCCGAATGGTTCTCAAGTTATTATTTGTAAGTGAACAGGGTTTTTCAGTGAGTAGTCATTCTCAATCCAAAATATACTCCTTTTTCCCCCATTGTCAAATACATGTATCCATCAGCAATGTTTTAATTTTTGAGGCTATCACTTTTTTCTGACATGTTTCTTTAAAAGAGAAACATGCTATATTATTATTTTCTTTTATCATAATTATACATTAGTAAAACTAAAACACGGTGCGTATCCATATCGGTACACTCATTGCGAAATCTGCTCAAACGGTACGCTCTTTGAACATGCACAGGTCATTCTCTGCTAAAAACAAATCAGCGATAGATAACAATCTAGTAAAATTTCATTGTAATAAGGAAAGGCAGTATGACACGTAGAAAAGATGTATACCACGGAATACTATAATAATGTTTTATTTATGTGCTGATTTGTCATGTGCCCGTTTTTCATGTACTGGAACTTCACAATAAGCTACAAAAAATCGACATGTCTTGCCTCGCCCATCACATCGACATATTTTTATGGCTGAAATGAACCTGTGGCTTGATTATATATGCATTATACATATTTAATATGGTCATATACACATCATCTTCGGACATATTGTCAAAAATAAATGAAAAATTCATAAACACCCTACTTTCGGTTTTGCAGCGGCACGGGCTACCTCTCTTCATTTGAATTTTTATTACAGTTACCCTCTTATTTTTTAACACATAGGTATCCTCAAAGCACGACATATGCTTTTATGTGCGTTAATCACTAAGTATATAATATGTACATAAAAGTAAGAAATATCACATATAGACTTAACGATTAACGCACATAAAATCATATGTCGCGCTTTGAGGGTACTTATGTGTTAAAAAATTAGAGGGTACCAGTATTAAAATGCTTTACTACTGAAAAGACATCCGGATACCATTGAAAGGACATTTCAGTTAACAGCCAAATCGACTGTTTTGTTAATTATGATATTGATAACTTTGCAAATGACAGTATATCGGTTAGGTATATTAACAATGTTTATGACAGTAATATGCACAGGTACACAATAACACGAACATCTGAACACCTTTCAATGTTTTCCTGTAAACTATTCTGTCAATCTGTATGCCATAATTAACTATTGACAAAGTGATAGGCAGTACAACAGTCACATATATGTGCCTCTTTATGGTTGAAAAAATCATAAATGTAAGTTAAGTATACAAATGGGTTTTATCTGAGGGCCGTCTGGACACATAATCACTGTGTTAATGTATATCAGTTAAGTTACTTACAGTTTTGCTGCATAAGAAATATCCAAATACCATTATAAAGACGTATAAGTAGTCTCATATAAACATATTTGTTAGGACATTTGAATTTTTTATAAATATCTATACAATATGAAGTGCATTTCCTACTAGCAAACAGTCAAATATTCCCCTGGGCAACAATATTTCTAATAAATTAAATCATTTTTTATTACTCATTTGATTTGTTTATTTGTTGATTTTTTTGTACTATTCTAACTACATTTGAACTCATTCCAAAACGTTTATGGTAATATTTTAATTTCATATGTACAATACTATAACTCAGAACAATACACTTGGCTGTAAACTGAAATGTCATTTTAAAGAGATCCAAACGTCATCCTAATGATTAGTGTATATACGTATGTCACGGATAGCCTCGGTACGGTATTCCGCGATAACCAAGGTTCGAGTCCCGGGCTGCACTTTTTTTTACTCCCCGTGACACGTATATAAAATATAAAACGTTGCTAACAAAGCACTGAATAAAATTATTTATCTGGTATAACAGCTAGTTAGATAAAAACGCATGTACAAAATGCACTGCATATACGTACATATACCAAATTTTGTTATAAAATACAAATGACCTTTCAAAGTGTCTACCGAAATGTTCTTTCAAGGATGAACCATTCAATGTATTAAGTTTTTGGTTTGGTGGGAGGGGTTTAGTTTCAGAATATTAATTAAGTATTTCCGACAGTGCCAATGATGTTAAGACGTGGTGATATTTTCCAAAGCAGAGATATTTCAAGGCTTATCGAGATGAAATAGGTTGACATAGCTTTTCGAATTCTCATAAACTCCATTACTGACAAAAGATATGTCGACAAGCCTTGAAACAAATGTTGTCAATACGTCTTTCTTATCCAACCAAACAACAAGTTAAATGTTGATGCTGCATATCAATATCATACCAAATGATGTGAACAGTCACAGGTAATGTACAAAATCTGAATTGAAAATCGTTCTTTATAATAGTTGTAGTATGCGCTTCGCATACTACAACTGTAATAGAGAAACAAATCTTTTTTTTCCATGTTCTTGTTATGTGTCTGAAAGTATGAAATGTTTGTCTGTTGCGACAATGATTGAAACGTCTGGTCGAAGCAAAATAAATTGGATAACAAGAAAAATTGAAATGATTGCTTAACTTAAAATGAATTTTAGACAATATGTGCCGAGAATATGTCCATTTGATATTGGTGCGAATGGCATAATATTCGTTCGAATGAATTTGAGGACGAACTGTGTCTTATTTTACAAATAGCAAAAATATGTCTGTAATATCAAATTATAGTTATGAATAAATAAATATACAATCAATTCATAGGTACGTATTGTTACGTAAACTACTTGATTTAACTAAAGATTACATATGTTTCTAGAATCTAGGTATAGGACCACTAAATATAGTAAAAAAATCAAGGTGAAAGAGAGCAATCGTCAGTCACAGAATCCTTCAAAATAACCTATTGCAAATATTTTTGATACATTTTAAAATAAACGTACTTTTTCAATCAGTTAATCTGTTTCATAACTTAAATGTAAATTATTTTCATGAATTACATGTGGAACACTTTTTGCCTGTTTTGCAAAAAATATTTCCGCACCTCTTGTTCCCAGCCCGAATTTGGTTCCTGTCATTAGACTAGAACGATCGACTTAAGACTGGCTCATTGGCACGTTATTTATAAGGTAGATAAAATTAGATAATTATAAAAAGAATATGATATTCAAACATGGCACAACCACTTCAGTTAAACGTTTATTTTTATCCCTTAAGCTCTGTGACATGTTGTACATTAGAAAAGTCTAAAATGTTCCCCATTGCTAAATGAACAAATGCATATCTACTAGACGGCGCGTGCACCTGCCGTCTATTGATAGAGGACGTCATGTCGCGTAAATATATGTCGACATGACGACACACAAGTAGTCACAAACATGGCATTTAGGGGGTTAATTCAAGCTTTCATATATATCTTATCGTATGTATGCGTCATATTTGCAATTATCTAACCGATATGTATAATAACCTGATAATAAAGAAAGCCATGACTTACTTAACATCAGCACAGATTTTATTAGATATGAATATATCCTAAATGGGTGCACAGAAATCAATATATTTATGTTGTTCAATTTACGCGACACGATGCTATTTTACCATTATATTATGATAATTAATATAATTATGCGCCGTGTAATTATGCTTGCTCTAATAATCTTATAATGATGCCAGTTCGTAACATAATTATGTGATGCAAATTTATCATTATATGATGATGATTTTTCATTATACATTGTCAGTTTATATATATACGAAACATGTGTAACATAATATAATCCTCGGGCAATTTTCAAGATATTTAGTGGTTAATCATCAGTACATGTACGTCACTAAGAGTGTAAGTAAAGTGTATCTGAATTATGTGATAGGTTCGCCTAAAAATATGATAATGATTAAGTTAAGTCATAGTTAGGAGACAAATTATCTTCCTTTGTAACTAAAAAACTGTTCAAATTAGGTATAAGTAATTACTGTTTGGTGATACGTGTAGTTTACTCATAATGTATTTCCTAATGGGACATAACAAGTCAGATTGTGGCAATAGGAAGTATCCGTAAAATAATTGAAAAATATAAAGCACATGCATTTTGAAAAAAAAAAAAAACAGATCAATACTGTTCTTCCTTTCTTTTGTTACTTAGACATTTGATTAGCATCAATATGATATTCAATTGGCAATAAAACGCCTTTTGTGTTGCGTTATAAAGTCTTTTGATTCGAGTAATTACGAGTTTTTGTTCCCGTTATACTGCTTTATCCGCGTTATAGCGCATTATTTCGCATTTTATAACGCCTTTATACGCGTTATTACTCACTTTCAAAACAAACTTAACTTGGCCTTAAAATTAAATGACCTTGATCTCTTCGGTAAATTATTGATTTTTTTCCTAAATCTGTTAGGATAAAAGTAGTCAGAGTTGACTCTTGGACAGACAAAAAATTTGTCATGTTGAGCAAATAAGGTCTGACTTAGTATGATCCTTATGTGAGTTTGTAATTTAAGGCCAAGCTAATTGAGTTCTGCATGTTTTTTTCTTAAATATCTTGTGGTAAATAAAGTAAAGATAAAATCATAGGAAATTGTATTGAATTTTTTTGCACAGGTTGGCATACCAGTAAATAATATTTATTTCCTAAATTAATTATGAAACACTGATATACGATTAGTAAGAGAAAATCAAAAATGTATTAAATCTTTCTCACTTATCACATTCTTATACTATACTATAACAACAATTTTGGTTTTTATTTAAGGATCTGCTCAAGAATTCAGTACCGTTAACGTTGAAAAGACAAGCATAAAAGTTCGTTGGAAGAGATATGACAGAAACCCATCTTCAGATAAAATTTACTATTTGAAAATTTCAACATGTTCAAACATTAACCTAATTTTAATTTCCGACAGTGGAAGAACTACTTTCTCTTACACATTTTCAAATTTACAGGATTCCACTGTTTATGATATTGAACTGAATTGTTCAGACAAAGCAGACCAAAACAATGTTTTTAAGAGATACAAATCATTAAAAGTAAGGACAAAAGGTAACTATGATTCATTCATTATAAGTGGCATTTGAAAATAGTTGGTATATTAACCAGTGACACTAAAGCGTGTCGCCTTGAATTACATGTTATCAACTAGATTAAAACATTTTCATTTAGGTTACTCCAATTTTGACAAATACAAATTATACTGTCAACTTATCCATAGTTGTTATAACAAATTTCCGAAATTACTTATAAAGATAAGATATGAAAAAAACCTCAAGTAAGTTTTATTTTCATGTTAACCGCATGTTTCAATGAGGCAAACATATGCTTTGTACAATTGAAAAGACAAGAGTAAACGAAATCGAAATTTCAACAGGTGTTCCGGATGCTCCAAGCGAGTTTCGAGTAGACGGAAACGATATTACAGAATCAAGTATACGAGTACGATGGGAACCAGGAGATGACGGTGGAAATAGGCAAACGTTTGTTTTAACTTGCTCGACCAAAGATAGAAATATAGAAAATATAGAAATTGAACACAATGGTGAAATGGAGATGTCTTATCAGTTGGAAAATTTATCTGAAGGAACTTACTACGACTTAGGGCTGCGTGGTAAAAGTATTGAGGGATTATGTACTCGAATTCAGTCATTGAAAAAGAGGACACTTGGTATATATACATATAATTGTGTGTGTGTGTGTGTGTGTTTTGCGTTTTGCAAGTAAGGATTTTTATTACCCTTCCAGATTTTTTCCTCCTTTTTGATTGGATATTGGTCACCCGAAAGAAATTGATATAACTGAGCCAGACGGGTAATATACACACTAAATTTTCCCGTTGGGTACCCCACGTTGTAAACAACATGCGCTGTGGCGATGCGCGTACGATTTGATTTTACGCGATGTAAATTCCGATTTGCAAGCACTTTTTAAACTGTCAAATGATAAATATTCACCAAAATAGAGTATTGATACATATTCTCATCAGAATTTAAAAACAAATATGACCTTGTGAAAGCTTGATATTAATTCCAAAAAAGTGCGTTCAACAGACTACTCTTTTTCTCTTGTTTACATTTGTCAGGTTCGAAAGAAAAAAAGTCATGTATTTATGTGACGTCATCTTGTGGTGAAGGGGTACCCGAAAGGGAATCTTGTTTCGACGTTTCTTTTGAAGTAGCAATGATTTATATTAAAATCGTCTTAACTCGGCAGGGGAAGGGTAATAAAATTATTATTTTGGTTTTGAAGAGATATATGTGGATATATTACCTGCCAAGATAAAATATCAACCTCGCCTTACGGCTCGGGTGATATAAAATCTTGACAGGTAATATGTCCACATATAACACTCCAAAACCAAAATAACATATAATATGATAAGTACGTAAGACATAATAACATGTTTTTAAACTGATGTACTGATGAAGCTCATAATAATGATTTCATACACTGATTGGCCTTATGCGCGGTATGTTTGACTACTTCAATTATAGGTACTAATTTGTATGTCCAGTGTCATGATGTCTTATTTCATACATAATCTGAAATCAAGAAGTCTGCGGGTATACGTATTAAGAAACTAATATGGCTGGGGAACCAGTTCATGATTTATTTATTTTTTAAGGTCCATTCAATATCATTTGCAAAATAGATTCCTATATACAAAACCCATAGAAAATGTTACAGTAGATTTGTTTTAAATGATCAGAGACAATGTAAAATGTACATCTTTTATCCCAACATAACATAATATGTGTTACTATCAAAGAATGTTGGTTTTTTTTTTTAAATATATTTATTTTTTTTAAATGGATTACTATAGAAATAAAATTGGAAAAAGTGGACATTTTGATGTTAATTTCGTAACACGTTAAGATATGGAATAATTATATTCAAAATATATAGCAAAACAGTATCTACTAAAACAAGGCAATCATTTTAAAATAAAAAATTCTAATATGCACACAGTCACTTCCGGAGCAATTTTATATAACAATTAAAATAGTCAGTGGGAAAAAAGAGGTACGGTTTGGACAATTTGATTTGAACAATTGTTAGGTGTAAGTATGCTTACTTTAAAAAACAGTGATTATACTAAAATGATTACCAACTTAATTTGTACCCTTGATGTTATTTACCACTTATTCCAACGAGGGAATATGTTGAATATTTTAGTATACATTTTCAGGCAAGCCAGACCCACCTACAAACTTAAGGGCTTTAAATGTTACGGAAAAAGGCATGGAAGTAAAATGGAATGCAGGTTCAAATGGTGGATACTCGCAATCCTTTAAATTGGTTGTTTTGAATAATGAAGAACAAGACAACCATGACACAAATGGAAAATCTGATAATCATTTGACATTGAAAAATCTTTCACCATCGACTGACTATATACTTATGTTGTTCTCTACAAATACAAGAGGAATCGTTCAGTGTATAGAGCCATTACATGTTAGAACTAAAGGTAAATATAGATTAAACGTTATAGTAATAAATGATTTCAATCAACGCTAGTGGAACGTTTATTTATATTCGATTAAGACACATTTGTCAATAAAGATAAATTAAATCATAGAGTTCCAATTTACGCATGTCCAACAATATCACAATCTTTGCTCAATTCGATAATTTGATTGTTTTAAAATGTGCCTTACTCATTGCCTAACAACAAAGGTTTGGTAGTTTGGCTAGAAATCCATTGTCTTATTATTAGTAGACTGAACTGTTTGTTTGTAATTATATATATTTTAATTACACATCAGTTATAAGCAACAGAAGATCAATATATTTTTTATAATTATATAAAAGATGTCTTATTATTGTGTACAATCTTACAATAATAAACTCATCAGTAATACAACATACTTACATACAGGTAAACCTGGTCAGCCAAAAATTCTCAGGTTCGAAAACAATGACATCACAGCCACCAGTATCACGGTACGATGGGATCCTGGGTCAGATGAGGGATATAAGCAAACATTTGTCGTGACTATCTTTGGCAAAGGAATATCACCAACTTGTGATGAAATTCAAGACAGTGGTCGCAAAGCATCTTGGCTCAAACGGTGGACACAGTTATCGAAAGCCACGTATTATGACATTACTATTTATGCCAAAAACAAAGTAGGGCGATCGGAATCGCTAAATCTTTCTATCAAGACTTTAGGTAGGATCTACTAACCACTCTTTTTGTATTCAAATCCATAAATCATAGGTTAGTTTTTTTTTGCACTCTTAATATTTTAAATTTACCATTTTTAAGCAACGTTTGAATAGACAAGAAAAAAATCGATAGTCGAAAATCAAAAGACTCTTGCCTTTTTTATACTTCTTTTTTTTTATTTGTGTGTTTATTTTCTATTTTTGCTGGGTTTTTTCGACTATTTTTAGATGCTTGATTCTAAAACATAAAATGACATACTAACATGTTTGATATGTTTTCCAATTAAGCCGAAAAGTGTGTTTCAATTATATCGTTTTTTTTTTTGACGAAAAACTTGTCTATTTTCGCATTCAAGAAAATCTTTATTTGTTTCCTTTGTAAACACATATACATTTGTTTTTATAATTTTGTTTAAATCAAACATCAAGTGATAAAAATGATAGATGAAATATGTATTTATTGGATATAAACTTTTCAAAATTTTGAAAATAGTAAGCAAACCAGACCCACCAACTGAGTTTGTAGAAGATGGCGTTACAGAAACCAGTATCACAGTGAAGTGGGAACCAGGTCATGACGGTGGATGCAAACAATCATTTTACGTTTTCATTAACGAAAACGAATACGAAGCAAAAGAAAATGATGCATACACGTTTGAATCGTTAACACCAAATACTTTCTACAATATTGCTCTGAAGGCAAAAAATAAAGAGGGGGAGGTTTACGCCTCATCTTATCTTCATATTAGAACACATGGTAAGCGTAGCGGTTACTCAAATCACTTCCTTATTGAATAAATCAAAAATTTAATTTTCTGGTCCAAACTTTACATTACTGAGACAACTTTTAATATGATAAAAATATTAGTTCGTAATAATCGTCATGTTTAACACACTTATAAGTGAGTGAGTGAGTGAGTGAGTGAGTGAGTTGGTGAGTGAGTGAGTGAGAAATTCTGTGCATCTGTTGATATATTTATGAGTACACATGAAAGTATATAGATATTTTATCATTTATCATTTACATTACTGAGACAACTTTTAATATGATAAAAATATAAGTTCGTAATAATCGTCATGTTTAACACACTTATAAGTGAGTGAATGAGTGAAAATCAGATTGAAAAAAAGAAGAAATAAAACATAGATATTAAAATCATCAAAACAAAATATTCAACGAAAGAAAGTTATCACAATAGCAGCATGGCAGATTAGGGTTCGAGTCTGTATTTTTGATTAACTTAAATATTACTTTTGATTTACCAACTGAGTCACAATGGTTATACACATAGAATGATATGTTTTAAAATATGTATTTTCCTAAGCTCCCTTTATCATAAAGCAAAGCACAATTATATTTTCTAGAGCATTGTTAATTCCTTATTATAATCCCAAGACAGAAGCCAGAACAAATAGATTTATTTTTGTTTTGAATGACATAATGAATAAAAGTAACCACCAACGATAGCATAATTGATAAAATAGCTGTGGCGTAACACTAAAAGTCGCAATACCAGTTATGAAGATATAGAACTTGTAAAATACGTTTTTTTAGAATAACACCAAGGTTATTTTATGCATTAAAGGTGAAAATCGAGGGAATGTACAGTAGCAATTGGCATAATGAGATAAACTTGTACAATGTTTATGGCAATTCAAAATGAATACCTTTCATTTAGTCACTATTCATCAGCATTTTATATAATTAGTTCCTAACTTGAAGTTATTCAATGTATTTTTGATTAAACAAATATGCCGAAGTAAGATTTCACTACATACATAAAGGTTTATTTATATAGGTCGACCTGATACACCGAAATATTTTGAAATAGTGGACAGAACAAATTCAACAATAACAATGAAATGGGAACCAGGTAATGACGGAGGATTTTCGCAAAATTTTATTTTGATCAATTTGATGGATAATCAAAGTCACAAGCAACTAACAGATCCTATACAAGACACAGCAGATCATATTATGCAGCATACCATAACTAATCTTAAAGATGACTCGGAGTTTAAACTTCAGGTCCAAGCATATAACGAAAAAGGGACATCTTCTTCTAAATCTGTGAAAGTTAAAACAAGGAAGCCCCGCTTGGCAGATAAATAATTTAACTTTGTATTATATGCGATCATTAATATTTTCAGTGTATTTCACTTTTATAAATGACATTATATGAACAAGTGTTGTCATTTTAACAATTGGTAACAATCCACAAGTTAAAACAATTTGAAATGATACATTGTACAAATATCTAAAGGAAGTCGTTTACTTTGCATGAGAAACTTTGCTCTTGTCTTGTGTAACACAGAAAAGTGATCATGAGCATCAAAATATTACAGCTTCTTTAAAAAAAACTTATGTTAAAAATTTTGTTTTCGGTGCACATGCTACAAAAAGTGTTGTTTTTTTCAAAAGCGCTAAAAAGTCTCTTAACTAAAGAATATGTATGCATTCATTATACTTTAAAACTACTTGAGGTTTTGTCGGTGGAAAACTTTTTTTCCAAAAATTGATATCTAAGGTTATTACATTGTTTACATATCATTTTATTACAGAACTGTATCATATTTGATTTGTGTAAAGTGTAACTTTACTGGTCGTGCATGCATTCACATTACATTTGTGTAAAAGAAATGTTATATTACAATGTTACTGTTAGACATGTTAATTCATACGTGTACGGAAAATGTTATGCAAGATTGTATTCTTGTATTTACAAACATGGAGGCGTGGTGCTTTTAATTTCAATAAAAACATTTAAATCTGATATTCAATTATGAAAAAAATTATGAAACATGTATTTCGAAGTGTTATTAACAGTAAATTAGATGCCATAAAATTCTAGAATAATACCTGTAAACATTTATCAAAACGAACACATGTGCAGTATAATACGAAATATGTTAATATTAAAATCTGTTTGGTGATTGATGAATTTAAGGATTAGGAAATGATATATCCGATGGAATATCTTCATAAACTAAAAATCATTAAGAGCGAAAATTGATGCATATTTTAAAAATATGTTTGTCAGTTTTAGATGTCTTTCAAATGTTTTTGTCTGTGATAATTTATTAATGGCTTTAACAATATAAGATCGCCTAATAAGATATATAATATATGCTCGACTTTTTGCCATACCTCGCCTCTTTTGCTGTTTAAGAAAGTAAAAGAAAACAGGTGTTAACTATTAAAAGTATATACTATAACCTAATTTAATCGCAAATTGAGGTGCTTAAATCAATATATGATTTAATCTTATATCATTTAGAACTAAAACATATTTCATCAGAGTAAATATGTCATAAGCATGTTCAATGCACTTACGTTTGTAGACGATTTTAAAATGCATAAATGTATTTGTATATAATAAAGAGTAATATAATTGTGCGTACTTGATGTTTGATAAGCTTAGTGATTTTATGACAAGGAACGCACATATTATAAAAAGAAAGCATTCAATTTCATTCATTTCAGATACCACACTTTAACAAGATGTCATTAAGCTGAAACTCAGTATAATGACCAATCTATATTTATGCAATGACCTTAAAAGAATGATATATTGTGACTTTATGGAAACTCGCTGATTTTACATAATCAATGAAGGCCAACTGTTTGCTGTTACAAAAATTAATGATTCATATTGTTAATTGTAACAAGTTACATATTTACAAGTAAACTAGTGTTGTTACAAATGTTCTCATCGTGGTCATAATTAAATATGACCATGTAAGTTATAATTCCCTAGACTGCCTTACTCAAATCAATTGATTCAAAAGGAATGACCAACCAAAGGCATGATTTTTATTTGTTTATTAAAACTGATATTTTAATGAATGAAAAGAGAAATCGTTGACAGCTCTTCATGTATCCTCAAAACGTGGTAGTGGTAAATACACCAAATGTTTAGGGAAAAAGATAATAATGAAAACTATATTGACCGCCGTGTCTATATATTGTTTTTTTTATCAATATGTGAGAAAACTCGTTTTTTTTTCTTTCGTGCCTAATTTGCTTCTAAACTTCACCAATCTTATCGTAAACTTACAATAGTGCTTTTTATGATTTACATAAAAAAAACTATTCTGCAAAGTATGATTGTGTAAATTTAAATTGTTATATATAGCCTAGTCAATGACAAAACGGGAAAAGCACCAATCTTGGTGAATTAAGACAAAAAAAACAACATTTTTGTTATGGGACCAATTTTATACAAGCATTAAATGTGCGGTAATGAATACTGCCAATAATCATTTTACAGACACAGCAGAAGCAAACTTTTATTATGTCAAATGACAATAAGATAAGCATGCAGACGCTTACTGTCTATATTGTGTGCAAAAAGGATTACATTTACCGCACTAACAGTGTTTTAGTTGTGATTTCACAATAAAATTCCAAAGTATAGTGCAAAATTAGATGTCTGAACACATTCCAGTAATTACAAGGAAAGCTAAACGTGTCTTCTAATAATTTGCAATTCATAAAACTTGCTTAGCACCAAATATTAACTTAAGTACATGTGTAACGACGTTGGAAGAACGTCAAAATACTTATAATTAGCATTACAATATGCAAAAACTAAAGATGATGAATTAACATGTATGAATGTATATACTCTCGGTGGAGAGCTAGCTTTTTACTGACAGGGTTTGTGCGCCGTACATGCTAAATTTGGTGGCCAGTGTGGGGGATGTAGACAACTGCCAGACCGGAGTTGCCGTACCCACATGTTTTTCAGGCCAAGTCTCGGGACGAAAACTCTCGGTGGGGAAAGTAATGTAACAGTAATATTCAAAAACAAGGGCAATATTGACGCAATATACGCCCTTTACAGAAGCTTTTGACAGAGATTTGGGCATTATAGAAATGTATATAGGAGATATTCTCTGGGCAATATCTGAAATCATCTCTAGTGATTTTGTATCTGAAATTTGACCCCTATGTGTGACCTTAATCTCGGTCACACGGACCTAAATTTTCCACACGAAACACCCCCTCTCACACTAGTAAAACATTGTGCCAATTTATATTGAAATCCCTCTATGCATGTAGAAGTTTCGCTCCGGACAAGCGTTTTTCAATGAACTCTAAATGTGACATTGACCTTTGACATAGAGGGCTGATTCATGCGCGCGACACGGTTTGTCATAGTGGTTAAACTATAATACGACCCGTTTTTCAAACAGGCGTATAAAAATATCACGACGTTATACCAAGGTCTTTACAGTATGCAAAAAGTAGATAAACCAACAATTAGGAAAGAATTCCATATATAAGGGCATAAACCGCCCTCGGTGTTTAGCACGGACAGGGTTTGTTCGAAGAACATGTTACACATGTTAACAAAACGTGTACCTATACAAACAAAAACGTCCTGAACAATTAATAATTGAGCTGTTCGATCTATTGAATATAGCATCAGTTTCACATTGATGATTTATAATGCAATAGAGAGACTGAGATTGCGAACAAACATTTAACCAAGAAAAATATTGTAACATGCTTTTATAGATCATTTTAATTTAAAGATCTTGTAACACATTTTTTCATGGTTTTATTTCATGAATATGATGCTCAAATTAAGATTTGTCAATATTGTAAGTTCCAATAAGCATTATTTATAAATTAAAATATTACCCAATTTTACATTTCTTTTAAATTAAGGGAGGTAATTAGAAATTTATTTTCTATAAATTCTAAGTCAAATTTTCCAATAAGAAATCAATGCATGTAATTTATTGATTAAATATAATTTGCACAAATATTTGCAGTACACATTTTACACATTCTTCGATGTTTGAAAATTGGTTTCTTTGCATAATTACATACATATATATTTTTTGTAAGTGTGGTATACACACAGTACCAATATCAATTACAAAACATACAGGATCTTTAATCGTTCACCTTCAATAGTAAATCTTAGTTACAAAGGTATTCGAGGGGCGCGTTGTTTAGTGCTTCACTATCCCTTTTATGACAACGTATTGGTAATGAATGACTGTTTTGATTATATACATATTACAATGCATAAAAACATCAATATATCTGAAATATTAAAGGCTGTGGTAAAGCTTTCTTATGAAGTCAATCGACAGATACTTAGGATTGATTTACATGTAAATGCTAATTGTTCAGCCGTTTGCATCTGACGTTGATACTTGACGAGTCCTTGACGAGTCATTGTCGAACCATATGAACAAATGGTCATAGAACTGAAATTTTATAAGGGCGCACCACCATAGTTTGAGAAATTTACGTAATTATATTACAGAAAAAAATTTATTGTTTATAATTTCCTGTTAATTTAATTTCTAGATAAATAACGCGTTATTTTACACAGTCACATTGATTATGAAAACCATATACACTTTATATACAGAAAGACAAATCCCCGGAAATTACCTAGCCATGCGGAAATATCCTGGACATATTCCTTGGACTAGAGCTTTAAGCCTTTTCATGTGCAAAGAAGACCCTCTAGAATTTTACAAAATCAAAGTTGGAACGGAATTGATCAATTGGTTTTTGAATGGTAGGCTCGTGAAAAGGATGTTCTTCCCAAAATTTACATAGAGAAAGAACAAGTCCACGGTTCAAAAATGACCAAGCCATGCGGAAATCTCCTGGTCATGTTCATTTGTTTAGGGCTTTAAGCCTTTTCATGTGCAAAGAAGACCATCTCAAGTTGTACAAAATAAAATTTGCAACGGAATTTATCAAATTGTTTTTGGATGGTAGGCTCGTGAAAATTATGTATTTCCTGAAATTTACATAGAGAAAGAACTTATCACCGGTGCTAAAAATGACCAACACACGCGGAAATTTCCTGGACATATTACATGGGTTAGGGCTTTAGGCCTTTTCATGTGTAAAGAAAAGCCTCTCAAGTTGTACAAAATAAAATTTGCAACGGAATTTATCAAATTGTTTTTGGATGGTAGGCTCGTGAAAATTATGTATTTCCTGAAATTTACATAGAGAAAGAACTTATCGCCGGTGCTAAAATTGACCAACACACGCGGAAATTTCCAGGACATATTACATGGGTTAAGGCTTTAGGCCTTTTTATGTGTAAAGAAGAGCCTCTCAAGTTGTACAAAATCGAATTTGCATTGGAATTGGTCAAACAGCTTTTGAACGGTAGGCTCGTAAAATTGATGTTTTTTCCGAACTTTATATAGAGAAAGAACAAATCGTCGGTGCAAAAAACGAGCAATCCACGCGGAAATCTGCTGGACATATTTTTGGTTAGGGCTTTAGGCCTTTATATGTTCAAAGAAGAGCCTCTCAACTTGTACAAAATCGAAATTGCATTGGTATTGGTCAAATGGCTTTTGAACACTAGGCTCGTAAAATTGATGTTTTTTTTTATAAAATGTCTTCAGAATTTATAAAAATAAAGAACAAATCGCATGTCCGAAAAGCGACTTTTGAACGTGAAGTAGTTGCTCTATTTTCCTTGAAGTAAATACCTGTGCCTTCAAGCCTTATATAGCAGTAAAGAAGATCCTCTTAACTAATACAATCTAATAGATTTTTTTTTTCCGAACGCTCATTTTGTAATTGCTAACTGTACATGAGATAATTGTACAAAATCAAATTTACAACGGAATTGATGAAATGGTTTGTGAATGGTAGGCTCATGAAAATGATGGCTTTTCCCGAAATTTACATAAAAATGAGCATGCCAATATCCTGAACATGTTCCTTTAGTAAGGGTTTTTAGCATTTTTTATGTCTAAAGAAGAGCCTCCCAAGTTGTACAAATTCGAATTTGCATTGGAATTGGTCAAATGGCTTTTGAACGGGAGGCTCTTTAAATCATGCTTTCTCTTATTTTTATATAGCGAAAGAACGAATCGCCGGTGCAAACAATGACCAAGCCACGCGGAAATCTCCTGGACATATTACTTGGGTTAGGGCTTTAGGCCTTATAATGTTCAAAGAAAACCATCCAAAGTTGTACAAAATCGAATTTGCAACGATATTGGTCCGATGGTTTTTGAACAGTTGACACGAGAAAATGATGCGATTTTTTACGAAATTTCTTCAGATTTTATATATTAAATAAAGAACAAATCGAAGGTCCGAATAGCGACTATTGAACGTTTCATAGTTGCTCTTATTTTCCTTGAAGTAAATCTCTGTGCCTTTAAGCCTTATAGCAGTGAAGAAGATCTTTTTAACTTATACAATCTACTAGTTATTTTAAGTACGTAGCGTTCATTTTGTAATGGCTTACTGTACATGAGGTAAATTCCTGCAAGATCGAGCTCCCTTACACACACCAGCACTGATTTACATTTATATGAAGTAAGAAGACCACTGTATGAACGGTTGGCTCGAAATAATGTTTTTTCTCGCGAAAATTTAAACACGTTATATACAAAAAGAGCATATCGCTGGAAAATGACCTAAGGCGCTTTAAGCCTTTTCATGCGCAAAGAAGACCTTCTAAAGTTGTACAAAATCAAATTTGCAACAGAATTGATCAAATGGTTTTTGAATGGTAGGCTCGTAAA